TTACAAGATCACCCCCACCGCCGCAAATCGCCTCCTGACTCCTCCCAAACGTGGCTATGGTTTCTCGTACTCCACATACGGATCTCCATCGAGCACCGCGAACACTCCAGGCGGACTTGGTGGTAGTGTCCTCGGAGGCAGCATGCGCAGCAGCTTCAATGCTAGCAGCTTGGGCCGCACCAGCTTCAGCAAGAGTCTTTCGACCAGTAACCTACGAAAGACATTCGATCCTGAAGCCGATAGTGTTCTTTCCCCGGGTGCCCTCTCTTCCGGTAGCTCTCGTCTGTCTAGTGGAAGCCTGAAGCGTCTGACTATCGACCGAAGCCTAAGGAATGACTTGTTCACGCGCTCGACCAGTACTCCTCCTCCTGCAGCCATCACTAACGGCGAAGAGGCTGCCACTCCTGTGGACAAGGGAAAGAAGAAGGTCAGCTTCGAATCGTCCTCCGAGGTTGCACACACTGGCGGGGAGATTGTGCCCGTCGAAACCCAAAGTTCCGAGCCGACCCCCGAGGAGCTGGGATTCCTGCGTTCCGTCCGCAAGAGTGGCACAATCAACGGCGTCAACGGCACCAAGACCCCGGAGACCACTGCTCGTCCTGAGATGGAGTCCGTCCGTAACAACGATTTGCCCGCTGTCTCGGAGCCTGCGCAACCGACCGCGACCAACGCCGCCCCAAAGCAGCTCTCTTTCATTCCCGGCGGGGATCCGCAGCCCGGAGAGTACTTCATGAAGCCTACTCGCGCCGAGCTTAGCAAGATGAGCCGCGAGCAACTGAAGAAGGTGGTGGGTTTCACCGTGGGACGTGAGCACTGCGGTCAGGTGACTTTCGATGAACCCGTGGATCTGACTACCATCGATCTGGACAATGTCTGTGGGGGACTTGTCGACATCGGAGTGCGGAAGATCACCGTCTACCCTGACGAGACCATCAAACCACCCCGGGGCAAGGGCTTGAACGTCCCATCTATCCTTCGTATCGAAAACTCCTGGCCCCGTGGCCGCGACAAGAAGTCGCCCTCTCCCCTGACAAGTGGCCCGTTGTTCGACAAGCACGTCGATCGGTTGGTCAAGGTGCACAACACCGAGTTCATCGACTACGAAGTGGAAACCGGCACGTGGGTTTTCAAGGTTCCTCATTTCACCACCTATGGTCTTGATTATGATAGTGATGAGGAAGAAGAAGGTGAGAGCCTAAACCAAAGCACTTTGAGTGCTGCTCCTGACACTCCGACTCCGAAGGCCCAAACCCCTGCCAATCACGACAACACCGTGGGCTCGGAGCATCTGTCAGCCTTCTCCACTGACGATTCCTTCCTCGGTTCCGTGGCCGGCGTCGATGACGACACTTTCGATTTCAAAAAGCGTAAGATAGTCCCCGGAGCATTTGGCCACCAGGCGATGGAGACGATGGACGACGAGCAGCAGTTGGGCTCGGAAGAGGAGGAAGAAGATTCTTTTTTAGAGGACGGCTCCACGGGTTCAACTATTGAGCAAGACAGCGAGGACATCACTGAAAGTCTGGAGTCTGTCGAGTCTGAAGTTGAATTGGATGAGAGTGAGGAAATGGACATGGCGGGCACATTTCCGGACCTTCATCATACCGTGGAGCGCGACGATACCGCGAGCACCGACACATACATGGAAGACCCTCGGCTGTCGCTGAAGCCTTGGAATACTCCGGCGAAGCCCCGTCTGGACCTGACGGGCGATTGGGCTGAACAGTTGCAGCGAACCATTAGTCCTCGGAAGCAGAACCGGGATGCCCTACGTGAGATCCAGGCGAATGCCTTCAACGAACGCTCTTTGCATGAGGAGACTCAAAAGCAGCCTACCAGCGAAACCAAGCAGAAGGGTTTCGCAACCAGTATTGATCTAATGAATTCCCTATTCCAGCAACCTCGGAGACAACAGACTGCATCGCCTGTGAAAGTACCAGACGCACGACCCAAAGGTCCTGAGGTATGACCGCCCTTCTTTTCCTTTCTTACTGGATTGTCTTCTGCCCTTGTTGCCGCGACGCATACTCGTCACTGCAATATCGCACTGTTGGTGCCTGGAGCAACGCTTCTGACTTCTATCCTTATAGTGGCCCTACCATAAACAGCCCAAGACTTATGCGGGCGAGTCCAATGAGTTGAGCGCTGACGACCTTGCCTTCCACTACTCCTTCAAACCCCGCTGGGGACCTTCAAACGCATTGCTTTGCGTACGGAACAATGACGACTCTGTCGAGGCTGGCTTGAGTTACTGGGAACATAGTCTCACCGTGACCAGCGAAGGACGGGACGTTTCCATACTAAAGTATAGAAAGCCCAATGAGCCGGTAGCGATGCTGGACGCCCAGCGCGAAATCACGATCATTAAGCCCGTGGATGGAGTAGTGCCCTTTGCTCGCCTGGCTCATGCCGACTTCCATAGGTTGGCCGCCACAGCCGCAGGCAGTACGTTGGTGACCGACCAAGAGCGGTTGCTCTGGCAGCTGGCCAACATTCTGTTCAACGACGAGCTTGAAGACGATATCTCTGTCGGCGTGCCCAAGGAGATCCGGTCCCAGTTCTCTCACCGTATCAAGAAAGACCGACTTACCCGTCTACTGGAAGGAATTATTCGGCAAAAACAGGCCCAGAAGCTGGGTAAGGTGGGCTCACCCGAGGAACGCGCTGTCAATCTCCTGTGCGCCCATCGGGTTGACGAGGCGTGCAATGTCCTGCTCTCGAGCCAAAATTTCCACCTCGCCACTCTTGTTTCGCAGATTGGTCGGGATGCCACCGTACGGGAAGATATGGCCAAGCAAATTGACATGTGGCGTCAGAGCAATGCGTACTCGGAGATGAGTGAGCCTGTGCGCGCTCTGTACGAACTGCTGGCGGGCAATGCCCTACGCAGTGAGGGCAAGACTACTGGGGCGCTCGAGGATCGGATTTCTGCATTCACGTTCTCCGAACGATTCGACCTGGACTGGATCCAGGCCTTTGGTCTGCGCCTGTGGTACGGAATCGGTGACGATGAGCCGCTGGAGAATGCCGTCTGCAAATTCGTCGAAGATCTACGTAGTGGTGTTGAAACCGCACTGCCACTACCGAATCCTTCCCAATTCTACCAATCCACCACTGCGCAGGATCGTGAGTCTCCGCTGTGGGTGCTGTTGAAGGTCTACGCCGCTACTACCGAGGTAGCCCAGAACACGCAGTTGGACGGCTTGGAGTTTCCAGCCGCTCTGCTGCCCGAGTCGTTGACGGGTGACCGGCTGACCAATCGCCTGTCCTTCCAGTTGTGCCATTTCCTCGCCGCGGCCGTTGGGCGCAATGGCCAACTCCAGCTCAATGTGGCTCAGATGGACCAGCTCACCTGGGACTATGCATGGGAACTCTTCAACTCTGGTGCCCTTGCACGGAGCATATTTGTCTTCTCTCACCTCTCTCGCGCTTCTGATCGGGAACGAGCCATCAAGGACACTCTGGCTCGAAATGCGCTGTCGCTTCCACACCCGGTCAAAGAGGACGGATCGCCGAACAAGATGTGGAAGTACCTCGTCACCGACTCGCAGATTCCCGAGAATTGGATCTGGGTGGCGAAGGCACTATATGCGCGCGACACAGGTAATGCTGCACACGAGGTGGACTACCTGGTAAGAGCCAAGAACTGGAACGATGCGCATGCCACCTTCTGTCGCATTGTCGGACCGTCGGCAGTGATTGAAGGGGACTATGCCACACTGGAAACGTTGATCTCAGGCTTTGGTGCCGAACCGGAGCGCAAGGTGCGCGGCTGGGCTCAAGGGGGCGGGATTTACGAGGATTTTCTGCATCTGGCCACGGCGAGAGTAGGCAGGCGAGACCCGGCGCGGCTGCATCGGCTGGTGCAGGCATTGGTCCAGCTGGGAGATCAGATTCGGCAGGGTTCTGGCGTAGAAGGCTTGGAGGAGCGAGTTGCGTTCCGGGAGATGAGCCGAGCTGTGGCACGCTGGACGGCACACGAAGACAGCCAGGTAAGAGCGGTTGAGAATTGGGTGATAGAAACAAGACTAATCATAGTTTAGGCAAACGATTTGTCGAGTGTGCTCAGTCTGCCGCTGACGGGCGATGCGCGCCTCACGCAGACGGCAGAAATGAGTCGACGGTACTACGGGGTCATTATGGCTGGAGGGTATTAATTGGATGACGGATGAAGGCACGAATGGCAAAAGTCTCCAGTGGTTGGGACAGTCATTGGATTTGATACTGTGTTGTCTGGTCGTTCTTGGATGGCCTCTGAATGGGCGTCTTTTACTTTTTCTCTTCTTGCACACCCCCTTGCTTCTCTCCTGTTTCTCACTCCCTTGTTCTCTTTCTCCCCCCCTGTCTTACTCCTATTTGTATCGAAGGGTCGACATCGATGTGCGGCTCTATGTATCCTAGCTGATTTGCCCCTGTCCTTCGACTGCATGTATTTGTGTGTGTTTTTTTCTTCTTTATGCAGTGATTACTTTTCATCTTGGGTTTCCACATTTGTCTCGAGGGAGATGTGCCTCTAAGCCATAGTCAAGCCACAGCGAATGATTACCTCGATGGAAGGATATTTGATCAACTTTCTGGGGATGGCAAGATTTGAAGTATAGCTACAGTAGTTTGCAAGGTCACCTTTTTCCGTCGCAGTATACGGTTAGGATGATGCAGCACATAAGACAGACATCACCTCGCATCAGCGCGACGCAGAGCACAATAGACCGTTTGCGCCAGAGGGTGTACTATCAGCCCTAGTCCAGAGACCCTCGACTGTCCTACTATAGTAACTACTCCTTCCGAGGGAGCTCCGTCACGCCCCCCTCTAACCTTCCTCTATTATTTCACTAATCAATGAACTACCCCAAAGACAAAGGCGCCCGCCTCGCCACAACGACCACCACCCGCGGAATCGACAGCGCGGACCCCCTCCCAATCCGCCTCGCCCACCCAACGCCCGCAACTTCCCCTGCGGCCGCCTCCATCCACCTAACTTTCCCCCTGGCTCGCCCCACCGCGCCGCGGAATTTTTGTTCGTGAAAACAGATCACTGATCGCTGAAACGCCCGCACCAGCTCCGGCGGGCTCATCGAACGGGTCCTCCAGCCGCACATCCCTCAAACCCGGCCTCCGTGAGGAGCGCGACGCCCGGTACCGCCTGCTGGTACTTACCACCCAGTCGTGGCGGACCCCCGACGTAGCTTGTCTCGCTGAGGGATTTGGTTATTGTTGTTGGTGCTGGGGCTGCAGGTGCTGCAGGTTCAGGCGGATCACGGGTAGGTGAGTCTTGTTGGAGGGCGTAGGCCGGTCCGGAGGTTAGGCGGAAAGTGGCTGTGGTTGGGGGGGGGGAAGGGGTGGTGGTGGCGTTGGGGGGTTGTGCTGGTTGAGGATGATGGCCCGGAAGCGCTGTCAGATTGTCGGTTGGGTCAGTTTGCTGGACTCGCTTGATTAATGTATTGAAGGAGAGTAAGATGACTACCTGCTGTATTTTAGTTGGGTTTATAGTATAGCGCTAAGCATCATGAAGCTTCAGCCAACGACGGGTTATATCGCGTGGACAAACTAACTTACCCTTCTCTCGCTCGCTTGTACTGTAACTGTCACCATCTCGATCAGTGGCAGAGACTGCGAGGAGTGACTTGTCCCTCGGAGATAAACCGGAGGCCGGCGTGCTGTAACCCGCTTTTTGTGGACTACTATCATGCTGCTTTGTTGGGAACATTCCCAGTTTGAGAAATACAGATGAGATTAAGAAGAATATTTATAACAGGTATCAATTTCATCAAGAATAACCAAACGGCCAATTAAGACCATTCAGAAACAAAGAATCCTATCCATTAACGAACCACACCATCATTCCAAATGGAACCGCAACTCCGACTCCAGCTGCTCGCCTACCATCATTTCGCGGGCGATTGCAACCGTGGCCTCGAACGACCCCTCCCCCACGTACCAATCGTACCGCCAGGTATGCCGGGCCTTATCTCCGGAGATGTCGCACGCGATTAAGCAGCCACAGAAATAATGTATGTATTGTGTGACCGCTGTGCGTGCCTCTTGCTCATCGAAGGCCTGTCTGGCGGACCTTGGGAATGACCTTGCGCTCTCATGCAGGAGCCTCAACAAAAGGACCTTGTCAACCCCCTCGATGTCGATCTCGAGGTCCCGGTCGACCATTCTGACGATGGGGGGCTGGAGCTTACCTAGATGCGGACTGGGGTGTGTCTGTTTTCTGGAAAAGGGTACGGAAAGGTTTTCGTGAGAGGTGTAGTCACGACTGGCTTGCGCGCTGCTGGCTGGGGTATAAATGTTGTATTTATAGCTTGCATGAATCAGAGCCAGTCTCATCGCACAAACAAAGGCTGTCGGATAGATGGTGATCATCGACTGTCCGCAATATCTGACAAAGCCATCTGTGCCGGCTGTCTTTGACACTGCAGTCTGCAAACAAGGCTTCGCTGGAAGAATCCAAATCAACTCCACCTTTCAGCAAAGACACCACCGGGAAGGAACGCCTGTACCGCAGTATCCTCCTTGTGACATCGTTGGAGGTACAGGCAGATCGAGGGACATTCCACTCTGGCCCTCAGCTCAATCCACCAGATACTGCGGCCGGCCTGGCGGTACCACAGATACAGCAGCACGAGCGCCACAGGGTCCCGATTCCGGAGCATGTCCTCAAAGACACCATGAATACTGCGGATGAAGAGCTGCGCGGGACCGGTGGTGACTTTGGTGTCTGGGAGGTTCAGAATCAGGGCCACAGCGTGGGCGGCCTCGAAGTACGGATTATCTGTCGCCGTCGATGCCCCGTGGAGGAGGCACAAGGCCGCCACGGCCCGCGGGATGCCCTGCACGCCACGCTGCGGCAAGGGGGCGTTCATCTGCGCAAAGGTGGGCGCCATGACGCGGAAGACGCTGTCCGGGCGTAAGGGATCGACGATGTGCCACAGTGCCATTTTACCTTTGCTCAGACGGACCCAGTCCAATGCATCGGTCTGTTGGTCGGAGGGGGTGAAGGGCCACGATTCTTCCGGCGTGCATGCCTCAGGGGATGAGGAGGCCAGGATGGCCAGCGCAGCCAGGGTGCCCCAGAGTGGATCCTTGTCTTCGGCGTTGATCGGCCGCTCCCTGAACCGTCGGTTGAGAAGGGCGGTGCTCTGGTACCAGTGATAGCACTCGTCCAGACTGCGACGGCTGCCTCCTACGGTGTTTAGGTGGCGGTCGTATGTAAGTGCCACGGCTAGAGAGGCGTGCATAAGATAAGGGTACTGTCGGCCACACAGGGCTGGTGTTAGCCGAGTGTAGACCCAGGACGACTAGCCCTACACGATTATTCGGGTAGCATGTGCAGTACTTACAACGAAGGCTAGTTGCAGGAGCTTGCGATTCACGTGCAGCATATTCGGGTCTTCTGAGGTCAGAAGACTACTTCCATAGTACCGGGTGAGGAAGTCCTGACACTTCGTGTTCAGCTGATAGAATGTCGATTGGTCCGCCGTCCAGACCGCACCGGCGAGGGGGGGCTGTAGCTCGGCAGTTCCTCGCAGCGCCAGCGATGGCCTCCCTGTCTCAGCGGCGATGGGCTGCAGGTCGGGGATATTGAACATGAAGTTGCACACTATCCCGAATGCGCGACATTTCTTGCAGTGGGGTCTACTTTCGTCGCACTGAAGAGGTTTGGAAAGTACAATCAGCCATGCACGAATCAATGTAGTCAAGCGAGCCAACCAGCCAACCAGCCAACCTTGAACTCACCTTGAGTTTTCGGAGCTTGCAATTGCGGCAGCCATATCTGGATCTTCGTTGAGTGGTCCGCTTCTGAGCAGTAACAGTTTCTGCACATGTTGAGGACATTTTTGTGGGCTGGGAATGGTAGGCAATGGATGGGAGGTAGTCGCAAGTACAAGGTAACTTAGTTCCCACCAATCGTCCCCTCAGGCACCCACATGGCACAGGTGCACACGCTAACCTCCTTTCGGAACGAGATCTTCCACGCGGCGCTAGCCACATTTCGGATGCAGAGGTCTCTGATTGGCTGCGGAGATCTATAATCATCGAGGCACTGGACATTAGTACTCTATATGGATCACATTGAAGAGTCACCAATAGTCGAAAACAACACCTCAGTGACATAAATACCAGCCTCAATCCCCGGGTTCGCTGGCCTTCTCTCTATCTTAAAGCCCATCACTTACCTCTCAGAGAAATCCTCTTTCTCCCCAACCCAAACACCCTGGATCCCAAAATGACCACCCACCACTTAGCCGCCATCTCCCCGGGCCCAGGCCAACCGCTGGAGCTTCGCACCCGGCCCACCCCCAAACCAGGCCCGAACGATCTCCTCATTGCCGTCAAATCCATCGCCCTCAACCCGGCCGACCACATCATGCAAGACACAGGCCTCTTCATCCCGGACACCAGCTACCCGACGGTCCAGGGCTTCGACCTAGCCGGCCTAGTCCTCGAAGTCGGCGACGCGGTCCCCCAGAATGCTCCCTTCCACCCAGGGACCCGCATCGCCGCCTACAGCGCCCTAGTCTGGAAAGCCTGCAGCCCAGACTACGGCGCGTTCCAAGAACGATGCCTCGTGCCCTGGCAGCACGCGGTGATCCTCCCCAACGAAGACGGGCACGAGTTGACCTGGAACGAAGCAGCCACCCTCCCCGTCTCCGTCCAAGTTGCGCTAAGCGCATGGGATGCGATGGGGATTCCCCGCCCTCCAGCAGCAGCAGCAGCCGCCGCCGCCGCTCTGCCCTCCAACCCCGACCAGATAGGCAAAAGTCAAGCCCTCCTCGTCTGGGGCGCCTCCTCCAGCGTCGGCAGCATGGGCGTGCAGACCGCGCGCCTCCTCTGCGACTCCCCAACCACCCCCTTCGCCGCCGTCTACGCCACCGCCGGCACACCGCGCAGCCGAGCGTACGTCGCATCGTTGGGTGCGGACCGCGTCTTTGATTATTATGACCCCCTCACACCCCGGGAGATCGTCGATACCGCTCGGAGGGACGGTCTGACAATCCGGCATTGCTTTCTGGCCATGGGGCAGTTGGCGGCTTGTCGGGCGGTGGTGGGGGCGTTTCGCGGGGAGGACCAGGTCACAGGAAAGATCGCGTCGGCGCCGCCGGTGCCGCCGGATGCCGGGGTCGTGGACGACGGCCCCGGGGTGGAGACGGTCTTTGTGATGCCTGCGGCGGGGGAGAAGCAGCGGCTGGCGCAGTTTCGGGAGTGGTTGGGGTCGTGGTTGAAAGAGAGTTTGGAGGGAGGGAGGATTCGGCCGAGTCCGGAGGGGAGGGTTGTCGGGAAGGGGTTGGGCGCTGTGAATGCTGGGTTGGATGAGTTGCGGCGCGGGGTGAGTTGTGTTAAGTTGGTGATCGAGGTTTCGGAGTGATTGATTGTACAGTATATTTGATGGGATGTGCATGGGGCAGGGGGGTGAGGATGCTAGATGTTGGATATAGGGGTTATCTTACTGTATGTACTGTATCTGTTTCAGCGTGCGATATCAGATTATATCCTTGGAAGTGTTCAGCGGACCTTGTAGATATGGTCCGATTTGAGCTTGGTAGATTTCCATGGAGGGTGTGTGGAACGGTCCCTGGCCATACAATGCATGTTACGCCGAAGAGCATTTGAGTGGCTGACTCCTCGATAACCCACGGCAGACTATCCCAAACAGATACTCCATAGATCGTTGAGACACCACCCAGTTACAATCACCGAATATCAGACAAAGAAAAGATGTAATTGCTACCAAGACTGTACATGATCGAACAAGACGTGAAAAAAAAGGAAGTTAAAACACCACCCACACCCAGACATACACCCAGACCCTTTCTCTTTGATCAAAAAGATTTGATTAATGTCTCGGACTTTTCCTTCCACTGACCCCCGTCATTCCCCTTCATTAACTTACTGGCCGGGAGAGATCAACTTGCCCTCAGCCCGGCTGTTAGGGTGCCATCCACCGGCATAGGGGGACTGACCGCCGAGCTGCTCAGCGTGCTCGCGGATCCGGGCCTCCAGCTCGGGCCGGAAGTGACGGATCAGACCCTGGATGGGCCAGGCAAAGGCCTCTCCCAGAGCGCAAATGGTGTGACCCTCGACCTGCTTGGTCAGCTCCTGGAGCATGTCGATCTCACGCTCGCGGGCCTGGCCGGTCTCCATGCGCTGCATCATCTGCATGGTCCACTTGCTGCCCTCACGGCAGGGCGTGCATTGACCGCAACTCTCGTGCTTGTAGAAGGTGGACAGGCGGGAGATGGCGCGGACGATGTCGGTCGACTTGTCCATGACGATGACGGCGGCGGTACCCAGACCGGACTGGGAGTCCTTGAGGGCGTCGAAATCCATGAGCTGGTCGTCACAGATAGACTTGGGGAGGACGGGGGTCGAGGATCCACCGGGGATGACGGCCTTGAGGTTGTCCCAGCCACCGCGGACACCACCGCAGTGACGTTCAATCAGCTCGCGGAGGGAGATGGACATCTCCTCCTCGACGGTGACGGGGTTGTTGACGTGACCGGAGATACAGAAGAGCTTGGTACCGGCGTTGCGCTCACGACCGAAGGAAGAGAACCAGCTGCCGCCACGACGCATGATGGTGGGCACCACCGCCACGGTCTCGACGTTGGTGACCGTACTGGGGCAACCGAACAGACCGACGGCAGCGGGGAATGGAGGCTTGAGACGGGGCTTGCCGGCCTTACCCTCGATCGACTCGATCAGGGAGGTCTCCTCACCACAGATATAAGCACCCATTCCACGGTGAATGTAGACGTCGAAGTCGTAGCCGGTGCCGCAGGCGTTCTTGCCGATCAGGCCGGCCTCGTAGGCCTCGTTGATAGCCCGCTGCAGGACGGTGGCTTCGTGGTAGAATTCACCACGGATGTAGATGTAGGCGGCGTTGGCGTTCATCGCACGACCGACGACCAAGCAACCCTCGATGAGCTTCTGGGGGTCCTTGCGCATAATCTCACGATCCTTGCAGGTTCCGGGCTCACCCTCATCGGCGTTGACGACCAGGTAACGGGGGCGGGGGTCCTTGTCCCAGTCCTTGAAGTTCATGAAGGACTAGATGCCACGCCCGATCAGCTCGGAATTGACCAGTCGTTTGCCTCCGCACCAGAGGGGAGAGACTTACGTATTTCAATCCGGAGGGGAAACCGGCACCACCACGACCACGAAGACCAGAGGCCTTGATCTCGGAGATGAGCTATACACCGAATGCAATCATTAGCATTGAATCGTTATCAAGACCACATATCCGTCCACGTGTCGGCGATGGGGATTGAGGTGGTTATCTTAGGGGCAGCGTACCCAGTCGTGACCCTTGAGAACAATGTCCTTGGTGCGGTGCCAGTCACCGAACTTCATTGCCGACTTGAGGTCGGCTCCATGGTGACCGTAAAGGTTGGTGAAGATGCGATCTTGGTCCTTCAGGCCGCCATAGTGTCGTACGGGGGGAGCGTTGTCCTGGACAGTCGCGAAAGAACGGGCAGCCGGGGCCTGGGCTCGGAGGGAGCGGGAGGAAAGGTTGGCGATAGAGGAAGACGAGGGAGCCGCCGCTCGGGATATCATGGTGAATATGGGCCCAGTGGCTGCACGGAGAGACTGGGGGGAAAGAGGTCAATTGGGGGGGGAGGGAGGCGGAGGGGGATCGAGATGATGAAGGCGTTCAGCAGTTGAGCTTCCACCCTTCCGGCGCGGCAATTCCTGCGCCTGCTGAATATCCGCCTTTCCCCGCCCGCTGATTGGCCTTGTTCCAGTCACGTGATGCATAATGAGTAAGCTGCTTTTTGTGCCACCTACGCAGTTATACCTTACATATAATTCTATTCCTATTCGTCATCAGAGTCTTGATCTCATCGATTCATTATTCAATTCATTTCGTCTCATCTACTCCTCCTGAGGAATATACAAGTACGATCCCGTGGACAACATCACCTGCCCATCGCTGGCTAGCAATCTCAGCGGATCTTCGGGCATGTGCACGCACTCCTGCTCTGCTACCATCCACGCCCAGCGTATCCAGTTGGGCGACAGCCACCAGTCATCGTCCTGCCATGGGCCTGTGTAGGCCTCTAATCCAGCAAACACGGCAGAGCTCTGTGACTTCATCTGCTCCAGAGCCTCATCAAACTGGCTCACTAGGTACTCATCGTCCTCATCCTCCAGTGCCCAGGCCACATCATTTGGCGGCGGTGGGTAGTTCTCGAGCAGGAATCTCGCCCATCGAGTAAGTCTGGGCGACAACTGGCCTCCCGCAGACCCTGACACCTTCGTAGTTGTACCAGCTGCGGCAACGAGACACAAGAAGATGGGGAACGCGAAGGGCGATGTCTCCGCGCTGCCTCTGAGCACTGGGATGGCCTTCTCCGTAGTGCTTAGAACATCCTGGAAGCATGCCTTGCATGGTGGTTGCATCTCCATTGGCAGAAGATCCGGCAGCTCGGTCAATGTGAATAGTTCCCCGTTCTTGGTGAGGAGTGACTGCCTCTCCAAGATCCGCATCTGCAGTCGGGACAAGATTCCTTCCGGGAATTTGCCGGCAGGGATCCGGGCCATATGGGCCCCAAGGATCCTTTTCATTTCTTCCCAGCTACCAGTGAAATTGTGTTGCCGCGCGCGGTTCAGGGTCCATGCAGCTATCACAAGAGCGGTTTCAGACAGCATGATCTGGCTGTCACGGTACATCTTCGCGTGAGTTTGTTTCAAATTCTCCGGGTGCTGTAGATCTTGGCCGGAGGCTCTCAGCTTCACAGCATGGTTGATAAGTTCAATCACAATCTGGCTCATCGCAGCCAGCAGCGCGCGTGAGTTCCCGTAGGCGCTGGGGATTTTGATGTCGTGGTCCGTGATTTCTAGGGTCTCCAACTCCCGGTTGTTCGCCGCCAGGACGGAGACCGCGTTGAGGAGAGCAGGCGAGAAGATCGAATGCTCCATTGCAGTATCCGGGGCCAGCAGCGGATAGAAGATGTTGAAAACATAGTAGTGGTCTTCAGTGTCCGCAGCCGACTGCGGGAACATTTGCAGCTGGTGGGAACGTGCCTGCTGAAGCGGACTCTCGGGTGGTGCGCGAAGACTCACAATGCGATAGTCACAAGGGTTGCCCGGAAGACAGAATCCGTAGTTCATCATCACTGCTTGGGTGTCAGTGGAGCAGTTCAAATAGACCTCGAAGAAAGCCAGTACAAAAACTTACACTGTTCATTATTCCGAGGCCCGTAGTTATTGGAGATTTCCTCCCCAGCAGCCACGTTCTCCAGGACCACAAACCTGACCTCATCCTTCTCCGCTCGCCACTCGACCTTAGCCAGCGGCCGATGATTAGCCACATCGAAGAAGGGCAGCAAGACAGAAATATTCTCCTCCGACAGCTCCTCCTTGGGGATCACACCGGACAACACCTTGGCAGAAAAGGCGCGCGAGAAGAAAATCGTCGAGGCCCACAGATAGAGATCCCTAGACACAGGAGGTCAACCACAATCCTCCGTGACCATTACCTTGCACCAAGAACAAGAAACAGGAGCAAAAACATCCAGAACACAAGCCCCACAACAGAAGGAAGCAAATCAAGAATACGCACCATGTATATTCCTCCACCCCATCGAACCCAGCCTCCCTCAACGCCCGCACCGCAGCCTCATACTTCCCCCTCAGCTTCTCGACCCGTTGCTCCCTAGCCGGCAACAGACTCGTCCCCTGCAACCACCGCAGATCCTCGCCCTCATAATTGGGCGGCGTCGTCAACGTCCCCGGCTGCGGCAGCGTCCGCAGGTACGGGTACCAGAAGCTCTGCGCGCCGCGCAGATACTGGCCCACCAGAAAGAAGACCGTCGCCTCCTTCGAGCCGACCGCGTCGATGAAGGGGCGCGGGAAGTCCAGGCCATGGGACTTGAACTCAACGATGCTGCCACCGCCGGTGGCATCTGCATCTGGAGCGACAGCGGCGGCGGTGGATGCACGGTACCCGATGACGTTGAAGTACGAGATCGTCGTGGTCAGGGGCGTCTGGATGATGTGCGTGTCCACGGCCAGGCTACCTTCGGATGAGCCCTTGCGGACTTGCAGGTGCACCCCGCGTTGCTCGTCTTTGGCGACCTGCACGGCGGGGTGCAGCTGGCCGCCGTGCTGAGCCATCCATGCCTGGAGGTCGGCGTAGATCTCTAGCCCGGTGGTGGCATTGTTGGTGCTGCGGGGGAGACTGTTAATTTCATCTTCTTTTTTGGTGTGGTGTTTGTGTTCTTATTTTAGTTCTGGAGGGAATGGGATGGAGAGAGTGTGTGTGTCTTGATTGAAAATGACAACAAAAAAAACATTATCATATAGCTCGTAGCGGCTCAACGTCATGCTTGAACCGGGCCATAGCACGAAAGTAAAGCCTTGACTTACCTGGGAGACCCCGCGGTCGTGCTCGCAGCCATACTATGAGAAAATCACCGCTGGAATGGCTGACCAAGACGAAAACCCTTATAGCTGAGTAGTAGAAATTGAAGGTATCGGGTTTTGTCGAAGAATCCGAGGCAAAAGGTCAAGAGCAAGAGCATGAGCAGAACTTTGGCGGGTCGAGCAATTGACATGATTCGATTTTCGACTCCCGAACCGGAAATTGTCCCACTTTTTCTCTCCCGACTCGGGATTGTGTATCAGTACAGCACTTAACTTAATCTCCATGTCAATATCAATTTACCACGGATATTACCATTAACTTCCAAATTCATGATCAAACGGGGAAAGAAGACAAGACCAAAATCGTTTCTCTCCCGAAAGTATCTTACAAAGCCAACAAGAATAGCAATAAGACAGTAGGAAATCCCCAAAATCATCCAAAGTGCAGTGACATCAAACATTCGTTAAAATAGAATTCTCGTGACTTCAGATAATTCAAAGCTAATTGCTCTGAGAATGAAGATGATACAGCAAACAAGAGGGAGGATATGCTGGAGCATACTCCCCACGAGATCATGCTGCTGTAACAAGCATCCATAGACAGCGCCATCTCAAACTCATAATCAAGCCGACCTCATCATCACAGGATAAGCACACGCGAATACCATGCAGTCAACTAGTGTACATAAGATGGAACCTTTACCAATCCCATCAAGGCAAGCATTATCAAAGCACCACCCAAGACGTAGTAACCTAAGATCCACAATAAAAGGAAAAGGGAATCCGCGAAAGATAGAAAGTGAAGATGCATAGGATATCAAAAGAGCAAACAAAGATCAATGATCAGTGCATAGAAGATGTTGAAGACTTCCTGCCCGGCACTAGAATCTCGACTAGCCCGTCATCCTCACCGTCGCTGCTGTCGTTGTCGTTATCCTCGCCGAATGGAGAGGCCCCCATGCGTGATCGAGCAAAGTCCATGTAGCGCCCCGGTCCTAAGTCGGGATAGCCGAGCGATTCATTCATGATGGCCTCATCTTCTTCGTCCGAGTCCATCATTCGAGGGTCAGCAGACGGCCCCACCATCTCTCCCATGTCGTCGTCGTCGTCCTCCACTTCCAGTGGAACCCGTTCCTTGCGCCGCATGCCCTCAGTTCGACCTTCTCCGTCATCATCGGAGGAACCAGTGGAGAACGAGTCGGGAGGGCTAAAGCCAGACTCCGGGAAGGTGGGCGAGGAAAAGGGCTCGTCTTTGTCACCCGTCGGAGGGAAATCGTTGGATGGGAAAGCGGCATCTGCTGGGGAGTGGTTGCCTTCAGTGTCTTCATCGAGACCTGCAATCACAAAGGGATTGGTCGGCCACTGTGACTCAGAGGTCTCATGTTCGCTCCCCAGGTTCCTGTCTTCGGCCCCTTCCGAGCCGTCATTAGCCTGCTGCTTCTGAGCCGCAAGCCGAGCGGCTAATTGCCGCCTTGCGCGGGACGGCCCTTGACTCATCGGAGCAGGAGGCGGGGGAAGAATGGGTATCGGTTGGCTGGTCGAGTTGGCAGATCCCTGAAGACAGAGTAAGGTTAGCATATCTGTAAGCAGAGCGACTTGAAATTCGTGTTTTCTCATGTGCATGGTCAGAGAACAGGATAATGAAGCTTGATAGATGACAAAAGCTAGGCTCAGCCTTAGCGGAGATTCAAAGAACTACTCGTACGGGGGAAGGTATTGCTTGGTTGTAGAAAGTCATCCGCACATGATATCGGGGAGTAGTACTGTTCTGAATGACTTCATACATATGGAGAAGCGCTGCCAGTCCAACACGTTGTGCCAGGCCCTGTATGGCCCGTACCACTCCCGTCATCCATCATGTGTCTAAATTTCCGGCGATCCGAGTTGAGAGCGAAACAGTCAAGGGCTTCGACGTGAGGAAAGGGCGGGTATATATGGGGCGGCCTGGGTCGATAAGAATCGCCTCGGCCATGAATTAAGGGAGGTTCAAGCATCGCGCATATCGATATCTGTGAAATCGTGATCACCCACATTGTCTGATCCGCCTTCGGCGGATTGATCGGCCAGGTTTCTATCGTCCTGGTCTTCCATTTCCTCGTCCTCGTCGTCACTCGAGCTGGCGAACCCGCTCAGGAGAGAATTCCCACCAAGTCCGAAAGCCCCACCGGATACGCTTCCTTGATTCATCATGTCAAAACCTTGGAAGCCAGAATTCCCCGTAGAACCATTAAGCCCTGCATCCGCAAGCGCCGATGAAGCGTTGGCGCTCTGGCCTGAATTGATCATGCCTTGCCGATGCCCAATGGACATGTCCGGCCGTACGCCACCAAGAATGGCATTGTCACGTTCCCTTGTCTCGGAGAGCGTTTGCTCGACATAGTCAATCCACTCGGGGTTGAGGACACTTTCCATCACAGTCGGTGAAAGCAGCTCCGGTGGGTGGCGTTCGCTGAACTTGACGACCTCCTCAGCGATCAATGTGAGATGACCCATGTAGCCCAAACGAATCTGTCTTGTGCGCTGGGTTTCGTCACTTCTCTTCTGTCCGTCGACAATGCTCTGCGTTATCCGACCTGTCTCGAAGACATCAATAGCCAGCATCCGGTTGTAACCACGCTCCATTGGGCCATTGAAAACTTGTTGTACGACGTCGTAGACGACGTTATGAAGGAAGTTGTTCCACGGGAACCGGAAAAAGAAATCCTGCGATGCTGTTAATCCTAATCCCATAACATGGGGCATTTAAGGGGAGACAAACCAAGATGGTGGGAACAACCTGGTTTTCTACGAACATAATCTTGAGATAATCGCCAACCACAGGCTGCCCATTGGAATCAACCTGAATGTCAGGATGCAGTGGCCGCTGTGAAGAAGGAGCATCGCCGACCTGGCCAGCAGTATCAGGCGAGGAAGAGCTGGGTGGCTGATTATCTTGATTGGGGGCAGGGTCCGCATCAAGAGAGGGCTGCGTCTGACTGGCTGGCTCAGTTGTAGTCTCAGCAGACGAATCATGCGGCTTGGCGGATTGCCCACCGTCGAGGCTGACTTCTTGGATTTGATCTGCCAAGCCAGACGTGGTATCAGTCTCCGTGGCGTGCGCCCGTGTAGAATCTTCTGTCTTGCTTTCGAGTGCCTCATTCGCAGCCGACTCTGTGACATCTGCAGATTCAGAGCTGTGTGAAACAGGTTCAGGCTCGGACTTGGGGCTGGGAAGGTTCGCTTCCCTAACCCCCGCATCCTTCTCTTTGTCAACAAGGACGCCGGATGCGCTGACATCCTCGAAGCTCTCCTCGCCGGTGTTGGCAACTTCAAGAACCCTTGAACCTTCTGGTGACCCGTAACCAATAACAGATCCGTTCACAAAGTCCACAGTAGAGTCATTTCCATCAAAGGCGGACGTCTCTTCTCTGTGCGCGTTGAAGGCACCCTCACGCATGAGCCTTTCGCGCTCAGCATCGCGTTGTCGGACGTACTCGTCACTTCCTGGCTCATTCAACAGACCCATATTACTGCAGTGTAGCAGTTCCGCCATCAGCTCACAGGTCTTGAATCTATCGAAGCCCAGGGGCTCGATTTTAGCGCCCCATGCCGAGTTCAGCTTTCCCCTTTCAACAGTCTTCACTTTCCCACCATCATTGACCGTATGCTTGGAGCTCTTGATCAAGGCCATGAAGTCGGGTATGTGCTTGGCAAAAAGTCGGAGAAGGTTCCCAAGGTAAATAGGGTCATATGTCGTGGGTGGTGAGTCCGGCCCATTGATGTTCTCCGGGTCATAGTCTGAGTTATTCTTTCGAATAACTTCAATAATAATGCCCACACCGACCGTCAGTGGGTTTCCACCCTTCAGCATGGATTTGATCAAAGTCTCTATGCAGGTTGTGGAGACTAATTGCCGCGTGAGACTATTAGGGCCGATGCAGGACTGGTCATTCTGCGTTGCGTTTGCCGAAATGGTGATGATTGCTTTCAAGAAGTCACCTGCCGAGGTTTGGACGGAGGCAGGGTATTCCGGCGACAAGAACGATAGCAAGGTCGGTATGAGGTTTTGGGCCCTCAGCCACTAAGAGAATGGTCAGCTTGTGTTACAAACACCTGATTCCATGGCTTTAGGAACTCACATCAACAATCCCTTGGCCGCCTTCAACCTTCTCCAAGCTGATAATCTTCAACAAAAGATCCATGACCATGGGGTTATCCACATGCCGGAGGATGGCCGGAACCACGCCATCCATGGACTTCAGCAGGTCCAGCATCTCGGTCGTCTTCTTGTCAAAAAGCGTCTCGTTAACTTTTGTGAAGTAACTCGCCTGGACAGAGTCCAAGGACGAAGGACGCTTCAGAAAGCCCCAAAAGTGCTTCAGATGATCCGGGTTCAACATAATCGACTCCACGATTGACCAGATTTCGGATGACAGGATTTCGCATGCGACATACGCCCGTTTCAGCCGATCCTTCTCTGCCCGCTCCAGGTCCTCTGGGTCCAGCATATCTCTGAGCGGGTCTTTGTGTTTCTCCTCCACCGCCGATGCGTCGTTGTTCGACTCCGTGGCGTTGCTGTCATTGGTATCATCGTCTTCGTCATCAACGTCGTTCACTAGCGACGGGGCGATCACGTAGTCCATAAGCCGTTTCAAGACATTATCCTCTCGTAAGAATTCTATGAGCTTCGTATTATTTTGCTTGAGTTCCTGGATCAGTTCCGACTCATCCAGCAGCTCCTCCAGGCTGACATCGGGCTTGTCTAGCAGAGTATCAATGCTGGAGATACTTGCATATCCTCCAAAACGCCAAAACATGATGATTTATATAACCGGCCAAACCGAGTCATGGAAAGAAGATTCGGTAGAATGCGGATTTTTCTAGCGGCCGGAGTCCTCCGTCGAAAACGGTGCGACTGAGACCTGTTGTATATTACAAGAGCCGTGAGAGTGTCCAAAGCCTCTAGCCTATGGGACAACCCATGCAATGTTTCAGATCGTCGTGAATGAGAAGTTTATGAAGGCGGGATCGCAAGCGTAATGTTCGTTATGTTCACGCGTTCCAGGTATAGAAAGTGAGATCGGGAATTTCGTAAGCAGAGATGAGCCTGGTCGGAGCGTCCTAGCGCTGGATGCGCCGAGTATCCCAGTTAGCAAACCTCTTCGCACGTTGAGCGTCATGATCATGAAGGAGGGAGGGCAGAAACGTTGATTGTGAGGGTCGGGAACATTAGGGGTGGCTTCGCCCGAGGATCGGAGGATAGCAGGGCAGACTTCAGGCAGGCAACACAATGACCGGGTCAGGCATTGCGGCCGCGACTGCAGAATTCACCAGATGGCAGGCATGAAGGCCCAGCAAGCGGAGGACAAAAGTTTAAAAGAAAGATATACCATATAAAATTCATGCAAAGCACACATACCTTTCACAACCTGAGGGAGTGACAAGAGAAGAGAAAACGGTGGTAGAATCCTCAACAAGGGGAGGGAGGAATCGGGGTTCGTCAGCCTTGCGCTGCACGGGGTGAAACGAGTCAGTCAGTTAGATGAAGCAGGAATAGTGCGTAATGGGGATGATGAATGGAGGTTAAGGCAGTAAGTCAGTCAATGGTGCTAGACATGTGTGGGTAGTACAGTAAATACTGTAACTACAGTACCTCAAGAAGAATAGTTCAAGGATGGCGGGCTGACATCCGCAGGGCAATTCAGTCGGACTGTTGCTGCGCTGGCTGTCTGGCTGTGTCTGGATCGGTCGGTAACTCTGATCCCTGGAGGTGACGAGGAATGATCCAAGCGGAAATACCCAACACGCCCGAGCGACGGCGGGGGGAGGGCAAACTTTGGGACCAGAGATACGCGAGGGCAGAGTAAGAAGAGTAAGAGAGGGGGGTTGAAAGAGAGGGAGGGGGGGGGGGGAAGTGGGATAGTTTAGTTAGTCCTGCGGAAATGAATAATAATGGTCGATGAGTTTCACAGTCTGGGAATTGCTTAGTGGGTTGGAGGGAGTTCGACCCGGATGATTAATCAGAGAAGGGGGCAAAGGCATAAAGCATGAAGACTACAATGTTCTCCTCTTCTTTAGTGATATAATTGTGTAGATATTCCTCTATCTTGACAACAACGTATGTAACTAAGGAAAGGCGCAGTAACAGTCGGAGTCTTCAGGCTGGCTGCACGAGACGAGTTCCAGTTGGTATTGCTTGCTTCCTTGCATGGCCGGTGCTGGGAGGTCGGGCCTACGTATCAGGTACCGCACTGACCATACCCGCTCGTGTGTGGGTGCAAGTACCGGGTACGACTAGTCCGTCGTTTCCATCATTGCGGAATGCTTGTTGATTGCGTCGGAGCCTGCGAATCATTGATTGCACCTGACTGTGTATTATCCCAAACAGGTAGAGTTGGGCAGACCAGTACGCAGAGTCCGTACTCCGTAGTCGATGTGGAATCTGGAATGTTGGTCAGATGACCCGTGGAGTGTCTGTCTTGTCAATCCCCAATTTTAGGATAATATCTTACTGTACTGACACGATCGCTAATCGCTAAGACTTCCGTACGCAAGCGCTCAGCCATGTCCCGTCAAAGTCTGGCTTCAGATCATATTACGGGAGAGAATGAATATTGTTGCCTGTCACTATACCCTTACACAGTCACGAACAAAGTGAGAAAGTGACGTCTACGTCGGTATTTAGTCGATGTCGCGCTGTGCTCGAAGTAACTACATCCAATACTCTAATGTAGGCGGCGAGACTATTTACTGCCTAACGGACGGTGTTCCAGTTCCCAGTTCCCGCCCTTCAACCAAACCACTCCAGCTTCCAATCATTCGGGTGCCACAAACACAACCCCAACTCTTTCTCACTCCGTCATCTTCCCCTTCTTGATCATCCCTCACAAAGAAGAAAAACCAACGATGAACCGACTATTCGGTAGCAAGAACACGGCTCCGAAGCCAACACTGGACGGGGCGATCAGCAATGTAAGTGTCCCACTTTCCCTTCGCCTTTCCGATTTACCCCTCTCTCTCTCTTTCACCCTCTCTGTCTCCTATTGCTTCTCCGCCCTTCCCCCCTCCTCCGAAACCCCGCACGCATAACCTGTGATGGCCTGAACTAACCCCAACCCACCATCCGGGAGAAAAACAGGTAGAGACTCGCATCTCGAGCATTGACGTCAAGCTGGCCGCGCTGAACTCGGAGCTCTCGACCTACCAGACCAAGATCGCCAAGATGCGCGACGGGCCCGGCAAGACGGCCCTGCGGCAGAAGGCGCTGAAGGTGCTGCAGCGGCGGAAGCAGTACGAGGCGCAGCGCGACCAGCTGTCGCAGCAGTCGTGGAACATGGAGCAGGCGGGGATGATGCAGGACAACCTGAAGAACGTGATGACGACGGTGGACGCGATGAAGACGACCACCAAGACCCTGAAGAAGCAGTACGGGCAGATCGACATCGACAAGATCGAGCGCATGCAGGACGAGATGGCCGACCTGATGGACATCGGCAACGAGATCCAGGAGAGCATCTCGCGCGCCTACGATGTGCCGGAGGATGTCGACGAGGCGGAGCTCGACGCCGAACTGGAGGCCCTCGGCGAGGAGACCATGATGGAAGGCGCCATGGCCGACAGTGCCATGCCTAGCTTTCTCCAGGACGAGGTCGCGCCCCCGCAGTTCATCGATGAGCCGCCGGAGCAGAGTAAGATCAAGGAGCCTGCGGGCGGGCTTAGCTGATTTGGGTGAGCGGATGGGGGGGAGGCGGTCTAGTATCTGTGAGTCTAGGTGTTCGAACTATGGAAAGCATTCGGAGTTGGGTCATGTCTATTCGCCTTCAAGTTTTCCAGATGAAGCAATTTGATTTCTTTTTCTTTCTGTCCTTCTGCTAAGCTATATACGGGGGAATGACCGGGAATTGATCCAGGCTAGAGTCTGGCGCAATCCTGCGGTGGTAGAGATTATTGTTTGTCAGCTCGGGCTTCAAGCCTTGCCGAGGCCAAGGAGAACAAGAAGCGCGACGTTCATCACCACAATAATCAGCCAGACAATAACAGCGATGATGGTTACGAAGAGATTGTTTTTCATCTTGACTCCTCCCGGCGCCGATTCTCCGCCCTCGAAGACCCGCTCAGTTGGGACGGTCATGTAACGGTTGCGACATGTAAAGTAGATGAGAGGAGCGCTGACAAAGGGAAGGATGACACTCAGAACCACTTGGCTGGCATTCAAGGTCTTGTCCAATCCATCCTTGCCGACGGCAGCCGCAATGATTATGCTAGGGATGATACTGATCGATCGAGTAATCAATCGACGGAGCCAGGGTCTGATGGTCCAGTTCAACATCCCCTCGCTTACCATCTGCCCCGCCATGGTACAGACGATTCCTGCAGAGATACCAGAGAGGAGGAGCGCTAACCCGAATATCAGACCCGCCGCAGGAGCAACTGAGCTGGAAAGTAAGTCGTAGATGCCCCAGAGGTCCGCATTATCTGCCCCAGGAGTGCCATAGAGCGAGGCACCTGCAACAATGAGAATGGCGCTATTCACAAACAGGGCAAATGTGAAGAGCGACAAGGTAAGCTCAATGATTGAGTATTTCATGCAACCCCGAATGGCATGGATGGAGGGTCTATACTCGACCTCACCACCGGTGCTTCCGAGGCAGACGGATGGATCCACGTAGCCTTGAGTAACATCGAATTCCTTCAGTCGCGATTGAACCACTCCGCTGCCTAGGAACATCGAGTGCGGCATGACCGTTGCGCCGAGAATACCGCAACTTTGATACAGACTGCCAACCAACATGTCAGGACTGTGCATAAGCAAATCATATCACGGCTCACATACCCTTCTGATTGGACGATGGCAGATGATGGTAAATAGCCCCGGAATACATCGCCAACAGATTGCTCTTTGATCAGCGAAAGCTGGATGCAGAAGCAAATCACAACCCCCAGTACAAGAAGCATTACGAAGAATTCAAACAGACGCAACCCCCACATGGCCCCATTTGGTCGGTAAAAGATGAGGATAAAGAGGACGTCAGCCAGAGTAATCGCACATCCAGCAACTAGAGGGATTTTGAGTAAAAGGTTGAGCGCGATCGCCGATCCAATTACCTGCCAGGACGGTCAATTGAACATTCCGCCCAGGGAACGGAGTCAGGCTGCTTGGAGATAGTCGATCTTACCTCTGCTATATCAGTGGCGACAATGGCAGCCTCTGAAAAGACGTACAGAACAATAGTGAGCCATTTCGGAAGGTGTTCCCTACAGTTCTCCGCAAGGTTAAGCCCGGTCACTGTGCCAAGCTTAACACACAGAGACTGGAGAAAGATAGCAAACAAATTGGAGACGAGCACGATGAACAGAAGAGCGTAACGGTATTCTGCGCCTGCTGCCACGTCGGTAGAGTAGTTTCCAGGGTCAATGTAGGCTACTGCGATCAGAAAGCCGGGGCCTATGAACCGGGCAAATTTGACAAGACTTTGCGCCACATGGGCAGGATATGAAAAGATAGTTGATTTGAAAGAACGGCAGGGAGATCCGCTGTCTTCCCCGGGGATATGATCCCCAGGGGCGACAGAGACCACCCCACCGGGGCATTTCTCCTCTATCTCGGTCTCATTCCCGTCTAGACTATGCGGTCGATGATCCATTGCCGAGACACCTTCCTCTGAAGCGCCTCCCATCCCCGACGCGTGCCGCCTATGGACCTTAGAATTGGCGAGCCCGTTGAAGTCACTTCGGGTGGTGACGTCTGCGTTCAAGGCGGGCGGGTTTTGATTCCAGTCGGGATGCTCGAGGGTATCGTCGGTGCGTGAAGGGCAATTCATGGGGGGCGAGGTGGTTATATGCGCTGGCACGAGCGTGGAAGATTTGAGAAGTGAGTGTACTGGGATTGTGAGTGATGCAGCACCAGGTGGTTAAGTGGACATGGATTGCGACATGGATTGCCACGAGGTTCGGAACAATGGTGAGGCCAGACTACGTCGGGATCTCAACCGGAAGATCCAAGTACCCTGCGGGGGGGAGAGCCCGAAACTGCCCGAATGCGGTTATCACCAGTGACACACAGGGAACGAGAACGACAAAACAGGCCAGATCACTTCCTGTGCGTCGGAAGTATAAAGCTGGCAAGACAGCAAGCACACTCAATGTGTGTTGGTGGTTTTAATTTGGCAATCAGTGTTCAAGAGCTAGCTCAAGGTATGAGAAGAAAGTGGTGGAGGGGAGAGAGAGGAAGGAAAGAAGAGAATTTGGGAGGCATGACGGCATGCGGCATCCCACTGGAGGCTGTTCGCGGTGAAGTGGTGGCCAAGCCTTCGCTTCTTACTAAATGCGATGGCATTTCTAGGCACCATTGAACATGGCTTGGCTTGAAATTTAGGTTAGTCATAGGTGTAGTGGTTAGAGGGGGAATGAGGAAGAATGATGAAGGTAACTAACAAGTACAAAGATCAAACCGATAAGCGGGAAGAGGGGAAGAGGGGAAGAGACCGATTATAAAGAGGGTTGTTGTTTGATGAGAATGTACAGTAGACGACAGCCATTGTTTGTCTGGATTGTCACTAACCTGAGGAACCTAAGGAACCTAAGGAATCTAAGGAATCTAAGGTACGGACGGCTCCCTAGGCTGGGCTCCCTTGCAGCCTTCCCGCCTCAGGCGCCGCGTTTCCCCGCGATGATTGCCTTGCGAGGGATTATTGATTGGGTCATCCGCCCTGTAGAAAAGTATAGCAGCTTACACTACGGAGCTCACTACATCATCCAGAATTGTCATCATTGAATAACAAACGACTAAACTATGACTAGCCAGCCTTAGTCCTACGCCGTTATTAATTTATTGTTAGAAGTCTCAGATAGAATGTCACCATTGTTTTCCGCCTCCTAGACACATGTATTTCCGGGACCCAGTCCTACCTTATTGACTCGAACCCCCACCCTATTGTGGCAATAATCCGGACTGTCACAAGTACAGTACAAAGTACTCTGTAATTAACTTTAGGTGGTTATCATATCATCTCATATGAGATCCGTCCAGCCCCCTCCAAAATATAACATCATGGGCCCAGGCAAGTGGCAGATCAGCCGTCTGGGAATTATGACAGATGCCATCACTTCCTCCACTATGACATCGTTCTCGGCTTAGAAATCCAGTCTTCATGACGGAGATGGTCGGGCAGCAGGAGTATCAGCGGCAGCATCATCAGCATCATCAGCATCATCAGCATCAGCATCATCCTCGTAATCTGCAGGCGATCAGGCAGGTGATATGGAAGATGCTGATATCAATCAATCTATCGCATCCATCAACTTCCGGCGGCGCGACCGGCCGAAAACAGGATGGTTGCCCGGGACAACCCCGCCGCCCGCAGCATGTTTACACCCTCCGCTTCATGCGCGGCGCAGTTCATCTCCAGCCGTTTGGCAATGGCGTATGGTCTCCATCGCCCATATGCCGATTAGGTTAGACAGTGGAGGAAGCATGCTCGTTCTTCTTGCCTTGTCCCCGAGCCTTGGAAGTCTTCAAATGCCCGGCCCACCCACCTGAGGTTGGCGTTCGTTCCGGTGTGTGTGTGTGCGTGTGTGTGTGTCCCTTGCCCCCCCCCCCCGTCTGCTCTTGTCGTGTCTATCGGTGCTGGCTGTCACTGCTAGTCAGTCTAACAGCGGGCTCTGCTTTCACGCGTCTTTTCTTCCTCTTCCTTGTCGTGTCGGGTTTGATCTTCGTCTCTGCTGCATTCATAGATATTTCGCAATTTCTGGGTCTTCTTCGATGTCTGTTGTTACCTTCAGCTGCATGTCGCTACTGTCTCATTTCGCCTAAAACCGTCCCTCGCCTTCTCGTCGTCATTGCCGTCATTCCGCGTCGCTGGTGATTCTTTGTCTTGTTGTGCTGGGGCAACTGCACTGTGAGTAATTTATGCCTAACTACTCCGTCCTACTCCATCACCCTACTCCACATCCATACTAACCAGATCCGCGATTCTCAAGTCAGCTGCAGGCATAAGGGTAATTCTTCGAAATGGCACCCACTGTGGAATCCCCCAGCATCTTTGACGACGCCACACGAAACCCTTCCAGGCCCTCGGTTTTCCGAGCATTCTTGTCCCCGAAATCTCACAAACGAAACTCCTCTGCGGATGACGCCTTCCCCTCCAAGGCCTTTTATACAAGCCAGCCTTCCGACGGTTCCACTACACCGCCTCGCGATGGGGCCTTTGCGTCATTCAACCAACAACCACTCACCGAAATAGCCCCAAACCGGGAATCGGCAGACATTGGCTCAGCCCAGAGATCGCCGGGAAAGCAGGGGAAGAATACACTGCACAAGAAGACCAAGAGTGCGGTCTCCCTGAAGTCCCTCAAGAGCTACATGGAGCGAAAAGAACCCAAGCCGGAGGAGGCCCTGGATGTTGACGCGCAGAACTTGAGGCCAAAGAAGGCGAAATCAGCCAACAGCCTCTCTGCTATCCTGAGAAGATCACAACGCGGAAACAAGACGGAGGGTACCAAGATCGCTAGGGATAAGGAGAACCGAAGTCCATCGGATTTAGTTAACGGCATGCCCTCACCCGCCTGGGATCAGTTTGTGCCGCCCTTGTACCCCGACCAAGCCGGACTGTCTCCAACACAGAACAAGCGTAGAACCATGCAAGAGGAGACATCACCATGTACACCTAGGGCATATGGACCGACACATCAAAGTAATATCTGGGACTACGAACAGCAGCCATCTCCCACTCCTCGCACTTTGCGAACTGAACCCAAGCCGCGACCGAAATCAGACTACCTCGCTGGTAGCCGCAGGATGAAGGAAGTCCTGGCCCCTTTACAGGCCTTGTCTTCAGACAAGACGGCGACGGCGGACACATCGGGATCGTCGCCATCCAAGCGATTCGGAAGGCCTCGAGCGTTGTCACGGCCAGAGAAGGGTGAGAAGGCTGAGCTTGCGCGAGAGCAGAGCCCAAAGGTCTCTCGCGTTCAGGCAGCCATCTCCGCTTTGAATGCTAAGGAGCAGGAGGCTGAATTGCGGAAACGCCTAAATCCAAAGGAACTCGACTCGGAATTCGAGAAATTGCTGGTGAGCCTTCCCGTCGCGCGACCCCCACTCAAACAAGGCAGCTCTAATGATTGGGACAGGATGCGCGGAACATTCCTCACAACATGCGAGACAAAATGCGATCTTTGGACACCAACATCAAGGCTGATTTCATCCTGAAAGATCGAACAGAGAACGCGACCCCACATACTGCCAGCAGCGGTGCGAATGACAGTACCGGTCGTCGCGGGCGTAGGAAGGAGCACAAGGAAGAAAGACAGAACTATGATAGCAAAGGTTCACGATCCCGATCCAGGAGTCGTGGTTTCAGTTTTTCCAAAGGCAGCTCGTCGCCCAAGAAGCGCCCGGACAGTGGAAGCTTCTACCGTCGTCCCAAATCCGCCGATTACTCTTTGCCCGCGGGCTTTTCTAAACTTTTGACGCCCAATGCTTCTACCACTTCGCTTTCCGCGACTGCGCGCGATACAGCCACTGACCCATCAGACTTTGTCCACTATTTGAGGGAGATTCAGAAACCTGAGATGGTAGAGATTGGCAAAATACACAAGCTTCGGATTCTACTGCGCAATGAGACTGTCAGCTGGGTTGACGCGTTCATTGCAGATGGTGGCATGGACGAGATAGTCCAGTTACTTTATCGCATCATGAAAGTTGAGTGGAGGTGAGTAGTAAATCCGGATTGGTAAGGGAAATCTCAAGTTCCCAGTGCTAATACTTCCCACAGAGAAGAACACGAGGATAATTTGCTTCACGAGACTTTACTATGTCTCAAAGCTCTTTGCACTACCTCTATCGCACTCGAGCACCTCTCCAAAATTGAAGGAGAACTCTTTCCAGCCTTACTCAAGATGCTCTTTGACGAGGAGAAGAAAGGACCCAGTGAATTTACTACCCGAGGGATTATTATCAACTTGATTTTCACCCAGCTTTCGGCTGTGTCCTCGGATGAGATGGCTGCTGACCGCGCCTCGCGGATCCTCTCGTACTTGCGTGACCCTTCGCCATCCGAAGAAAACCAACCGCTAACTTTCATTGCGAACATTTACCAGTCACGTCCTTACCGAGTCTGGTGTAAAGAGGTTACGAATGTGAGCAAAGAAGTTTTCTGGATCTTCTTGCATCATCTGAATGTCATTCCGACCCCGAAGGATGAAACACCTTCATCAGCAACATACCGAGAGCGACACTTCCCGGTCCCTCGGCCGCCGGTGCCAGCTGCTCCCTATGTCGGCGGTGTCGAATGGGATGCTACCAATTATCTGGCGGCTCATCTAGACCTACTGAACGGGATCGTGGCGTCTTTGCCCACTACCCAGGAGAGAAATCAACTGCGAGCTGAGCTCCGAGCTTCAGGGTTCGAAAAGGTCATGGGCGGGACTTTGAGGACTTGCAAGGAGAAGTTTTATTCCTCTGTGCACGATTGTCTCCGCACATGGGTTGCCGCAGCAATCGATGATGAGTGGCCGCACTTGCCTGTTCGTGAGGGACCTCCTCGCCCGGAGATTCGGTCACCATCCAAATCTCCGGTCAAGGCAGCAGGTGGAAGCCCTAAGAAGGGTCTCCTGGACGAGCAGCCTCCCAAGCTGGAACTGGCGCTGGACGTCCCTGCCAGTACCGGAGTGCCTCCGAGCAATGTCATTGGCAATTGGCTGTAGACCTTACTGATTCGCGATCGGTGTTGTTCACATGCTAGGTACCCTGGCCAGTCATAGCACCTTTGCTGAGACTGTTTATCCCGACAGGGCCTGTTTATGCAATCGTTGCCGGGAGGTCCAACATTGCTTGATTTGATTAGTTTTCTTGTCCCATCTTTCTTTCTGACGATTGCGGAGTATTTGGGATTGAAAGGCGCTGGCATTTTCTAAGGTGTTTTGGGTGCATTTGTCCGTTCCATGACGGCCACGGCGAAATGACTTGACGACGGCAACAGGGCCACAGACCTGACTGGGAAATCATCTGACGTTCTTTTTTTTTGTATTCGTTTCCTTGCGAGCATGGTCAGGCAGTTCAATCGTTTTCTCCTGTTGGACAGACACGCTAGGGCTGCGCGCTTTTCACGACCAACAGTCTAGTACTTAAGGTTTTCTTGGATGTTATTATTCTATCTTTCTTGTACATGGACAGGGTAATATACAGTATGCGGGTCCTAGGCCTTGTTCTCCACGCATCTTCGACTCTGCTCTATCCTCGCTCGATGTATAGCAACCGCTGCACAGCCATGGGTGGTAGAACCACTTACTCTCGATCCTTCTCCCCGGCGGCCTCCCTCACGGGCCTCGGCGGCGCAGGCGTGGAAAATGCCCCCTTCAACCCTCCAAAGAAAGCCTTCCGAATCTATACAACTTATCAGCCCCGTCCAAGCCCCACACCAATTGCCCAGAGCACTCGCAAGCAGAACAAAGGGTGAGCAAATAAAGCCTTACCTCATCAAAAGGACTTCCCCTCTCATCCCACTCCATAAACAACATCGCATAAATCAGAACAACTGTCACACACACAGATAATAATCAAGTCAGTAACCCATTCACCACAGCCACAGTGTCCAACAACCCCCCCCCCCCCCCAGTCCCCCCTCCCCTTTCCCCACCCCTCCATCTCCACCCCCCTCCTCCAAATCTAAAAGTCCAGCGGGGGAAAACTTACACCCAATACTAAACCACTGCACCAACTTAGTGAACTTGGTCCACTTGGGCCGGGCGTACTTCAGCGCCGCGCGCCGCCGGTACTTGCGCTCGAGCCGGAATTGGTGCTTCGGCGAGAGCTTCGACATGTCCGGAGGCCATTGGCGCTTGGGTTTGTAGGGACTGTAGTAGGCGGTTGTGCTGTTGTGGTCGTGGCCATGGTCGGGTTCGGGTTCGGCGTGGGATTCGTCGGTCGAGGGCGGAGGGGTCTTAGGGCTCGGGGTGCTGGTTAGGCGGAACGGGGAGGGGGAGGGTTTGGGATGGGTGGTGGTGAAGGTCCGGGTTGGGCTTTTTGTCTGTGGGTGGTGTTAGTTTCGAGGGTACCGGTGGTGAGGGAGACGAGACGTACTTGGTGCGCCGCGGAGAGGATGCCCGGGCGGATGGTGATCGGGGGGTTATTGTGGGTGCGGAGGAGGCATTGTGTGGGGAGGGGACGGGCTGTTGGGACAGCTGGTGGTAGGAGAGAGGTCGGGAGGAGGCGGGCGAGGCGCATTGGGACTGCTGGGTGGGTAGTGTTATGCTGTGGTGCGAGGTTGGAGGTTGAAGGATTGGAGGATTACTTGGGTGTGCGATGCTCGGCGGTTGAGTTGAGGCGCAAGGCTTATTTTCTTGGGTTATCGCGGGATAGGCCGGCAGAAAAAGATGGTCCGCGGTGCGCGGTGCGCGCGCGCACTCGCTCGCCGCCTTGGGGTTTACCGCCTTCTGGATTTATGCTTGCTGTTTGTGCTTGAGGGAGAGAGCCCGGGTGTATGTGCATGGAGGGACTAATGTTGGGTACATACGGAGTGGGAAGCTACACATGGCTTTGAGCTAGCATGGTTTTTCGTCAAAGCAGTAATGGTGTCTGTCATCCATGATGATACAAAAGACAGAACAGATATTACATCTAGTCTGGAAGCATATATAGGGAGCGCTTGAATTTATCAGCAGCCGAGATAGTACTATGCTCCAGTATCCATGACAATGACTGACCCCATCACATGCAAGTAAATCTGGTATTATACTGCTGATCTCATGACGACGATGCAGATAATCAGCCTGGTCATCGGCCAGTCAAGGATGGATCCCCAACATCCGTCTTCACATGAATCTCCATGCTTTCGGCGATCCCGTGACCCATCCCCACGGACTAACAATAATGCGGCCGAGCCTCGGTACTTTCACAGGATTAGTTACCTATTATTATTCACCAACCAGTAACTAAAGAGCTGGTAGGCCGGGGTTAACCTGAATGACTTTCTCCACGCTGTCTCTTCCCCGGACTTCCGTCTTATAAGAGCCAAAAGGAGTCCTGCTGCATCTTTTTTCTGATCCTGGTTTTGTCAAAATATCGTTCCTCCCCTCCCCTTGCTGTCAGGACACACTTATCTCACCCCCTTCCTTGTCTTCATTTATTGACGTCATTATGTCCTCTCGTACGTTATCACCCCTCCAAGGCAACACACCCCGGAATTTCCAAGCTAACAGCAGTATTACAGCCCAGCAACGTCTCAGCCAGGTGGCTTCTCACTTCGGTCCCGGAGGCAAGAAAGGCGCTGCAGCCCTCACGGAGAAGAACCCCGATGATATTGTTGTGACATGTGCTCTGCGGACGGCTCTCACCAAGGGTGGAAAGGGCGGCTTCAAGGATACCGCCGCCGCCGACCTGCTGGCAGGTGTTTTCAGGGCGGTGATCGACCGGAGCAACATCGACCCCAGCGTCGTCGAAGACATCGCTGTCGGATCGGTTCTGCCCCCTGGTGGTGGTGCTACTGAGTTCCGTGCGGCTGCGCTCGTCGCTGGATTCCCTGAGACCGCGGCTGTGAAGAGCTTGAACCGGCAGTGTTCCAGTGGCCTTCAGGCTATCGTTGACATTGCCAACGCTATTCGATCCGGTATGATTGAGGTTGGTATTGGTGCTGGTGTTGAGAGCATGTCCTCGCAGTATGGGTAAGTGTCGCACTCCCCCCTTCTCACTTTACCTGAGCACGAACTGACCCGGATCCTGAAACTAGTCCCGGCGCCGTGACCGAATTCTCCGAGCTGCTGGAGAGCCACCCGGAGTCCGCCAACTGCAAGGTGCCCATGGGTGTCCTGTCGGAGCAGATGGCCAAGGACCGGAAGATCACGCGTGCGGCGCAGGACGCCTTTGCTGCCTCCTCCTACCAGAAGGCGGTCAAGGCGCAGAAGGCCGGGCTCTTCAACGAGGAGATTGTCCCCCTGCAGGTGAAGTGGACCGACCCCAAGACCAACGAGGAGAAGACCATCACCGTCAAGGCCGACGACGGCATCCGCGACGGCATTACCGCCGAGTCGCTGGGCAAGATCCGGCCCGCCTTTGCCAAGGACGGCTCCATCCACGCCGGTAACGCCTCGCAGATCTCCGACGGCGCCGCCGCCGTGCTGCTGATGAAGCGGTCCACTGCCGAGCGTCTCGGCCAGAAGATCATCGGCAAGTACGTCACCGGCAGCGTCGTGGGTGTGAAGCCCCTGCTCATGGGCATCGGCCCGTGGAAGGCGATCCCCGTGGCGCTGGAGAAGGCGGGCATCACCAAGGACGACGTCGACATCTACGAGATCAACGAGGCCTTCGCTTCGCAGTGCGTGTGGTGCGTCAACGAGCTGGGGCTGCCGCAGGAGAAGATCAACCCCAAGGGTGGCGCTATCGCTTTCGGTCACCCGCTCGGCTGCACTGGATCCCGGCAGGTCAGCACGCTTCTGACGGAGCTGAAGCGGACTAACAAGAAGATCGGTGTCACCAGCATGTGTGTTGGTACGGGTATGGGTATGGCCGCCGTGTGGGTGGCGGAGTAAGCAGTTGGACGAGGGGGAAAAATTAGAATGAGCTGGCTTCATGTGAATCTTCTCTCCTTTTTGTCTTAGTATATAAAGAGCGGGCTTCTCTTAACGTTTGTGCTCTCCGCCGTTGTTTTGGACGTTCGGGCTTTGGATTAAGTCTAATACCATGAGATATCTTCCATCCTCGCCATCTAGAACTCTTCCAGATAGTATATACCGGTGTCCAACTCCGTATAGATAAATGGAGCAGGCGTAAGCCCCAGAACCCTCAAACTCAAGCACATGGACACCATTTCCCACCCACCAACACCCACAAGAGAGGAGATCTAAATCTTCCCACGAAACCGCTTAAAGGCATCGAACACACTCACTCCCTGCCCCACAGCCTCCTTCACCCGATCATCCATCGCCACCAACTTAGGCATCGTCTCCAAAACGGCATCGAGCAGATCGCGCGGAATAGCCACCACGCCTTCAACCGGATCACAGACAATGATATCTCCCTGTGTGTACCACATACCCGCCGCAGCAGCAGGTTAGCCAAACGCAACGCAACCCTTCCCCCCCCCCCCCTTTATCTCAATCCAGGATAGGTATAACATACAGGCTCAACAACCACCCCACCCACATCAACAGCGACATTGCGGGCGACCGCCTTCGCCTCCGCCCCACTCCCCACTGTCGACGTCCCCCGCGCCCACACGGGGAGCCCACACTCCATAAACTCGGCGAGGTCGCGCACGCGCCCGTTCAACACCGCCCCCTTCACGCCTAGGTACTTCATGCGCAGCGCCATGATCCCGCCCACGACCGCGCAGTGTTGTGCTGGGGGTTGGTCGACAACCACGATGGTGTCCGGGTCGACGGTGTCGACCCAGTGCGTGTTCGGGGGGATGGTGTGCGCATTGTCGTTGCTCGCTGCGGGGATATCGTCGTGTTTGGAGATGAATTTGATGGTTGAGGCTGGGGCGATGATTTTGGTGGTGCTAGGGCTTGGGGGATGGGGGTGGGCGTGGGGGTAGGGGGCTTTGTTTCTTGGTGGTTAGGTCGCTTTGCTTTGTTTTTGCTGGCTGGGTGGGATTTTGGTGATGGTGCTGCTACTTACTTAGGTCGGCGAGGTGGCCGGCGCGGGCGGGGGTTCCTGGGGCTGGGGTTTGGAGTTTGAGGAGCGCATCGGAGACCTAGTTGTTTGTGCTGTGAGTGGGGATCTGGGCATCTGGGGATCTCTGGGTGGGTGGGTTGTTGATGGATTTGTGCAAGGTGCGTGGTGTTACGTACGTCGCAGGCGGAGTAGTTGTGGAGGATGCGTAGCTTTTCTTCGAGGGGGGTTGGTGTTGGCATGTTGGTAGGGAGTTGGTGTCTTTGTTTGAGGATTGGGAGGGGGAGTGGATGGTGGTGGTGATTGTGGAGGAGTGAGATAAGTCGATGCGGGGTGAATCCGGGGCAATGGAAGAGTCGCGGAGGTTTATGCGGAGAGCCTCTGGGTTAACTGGTAGGGATTGAAGCGTGGGATTCTGGCTCTGAGGATAGTATGGATTGCGAAGAGGACTGTCGAGGTTCGTATCAGGTTCAATGGTAGATAGCATGCCTTTATGCTTCAAGCTGCTGATTGTCGTCGAGCATGTGGAATAACCGAGGATCGGAGGATTGACATCATTGGCAGCTGTATAGTGGCAGAGGTCATTGGAGAGTCGGATCAAAGGGGGCTTTTTAGTGAGAGTGAGTCAACTTAATCAAGTGTGTCTTGTTGGAGGTATGCCTTTTAGTTGTGCAGCACATGTATCCGATGCAGATACAGACAGACAGTTGATGATTGGTATACTATAGAAGCAGGCAAGAACGTGACTGAGGTGCCCCCAAACGGGTAATTCTCCACAATATCCATCCATCATCCATCCAGATGAACTGCCGGACACTCCCGGCATTCACAAGCTTTGACTCGGCCCCCGAAACGAATTGACCTCAACTCAAACCCAGCGACGAACCATGGCTGCAACACCAACATATACTCCCGATAAGCTGGAGCTCTACCTGGAGCGCATCGGGTTCCCTAATGCCACTCCTGGTAGTAGTCGACTGGAATATGTCCGCGAATCTATCCAGAAACGCCCTCTGGCCACGTTGACCGAGCTGCAGCGAGCACACCTAACCTCGATTCCGTGGGGGAATTCGGGGCTTCACTACTCAGCGCACCACTCCATCTCCATCCGTCCGGCATGCGTCTTCGAGAAATTGGTGTCCCGCCGGCTCGACGGCTACTGCATGGAGAATACTATGCTGTTCTACCATGTCCTCCGATCGCTGGGGTACACGGTCTACCCCACCGGAGGGCGAGTGAACACTGCAGCCTCCGATGCGTCGACCGACAGCCGCAACTGGTTCTTTGTAGGCATGTAAGTGGCGCGACCGTTCCCGTTGCATGCTGCTGCGAACCCAACGCCGAGAAACTCATGCGCAATGTTACACCACAGGGGACACATGGTCCTGGTTGTGACCATCGACGGCGAGAAATACGCGGTATGGCTGTCGGATTTTACCCCCGAGCACAAATCGGATGATATCCCGACATTGCTCTTTGTCTACATCACGCTGCTAACCCTCGTATCGGACAGGTGGACGTCGGGTTCGGCAGCAACGGGCCTACCTGCCCCTTGCCGCTGCAGCATGGAAGCGCGCGGGTGAATATAGCCCCGTCGGAAATGCGGCTCATCTACGATACTTTGCCCGAGTTCGTGGATCAGACGCAGAAGGTTTGGATTTACCAGGTCCGGTATACGCGGGACAGCACCTGGATGCCCATGTACTCGTTCTCCGAGGTGGAGTTTCTCCCGCAGGATCTCGAGGTCATGAACTTTGCCACCAGTCAGCGGCGAACGAGCTGGTTCACCCAGACGCTGGTTTGCACGCGGATGCTGCTTGATGACAGCGGACAAGGAGTTAAAGGGCTCTGTATCCTGGCCGGAAACACAGTGAAGGTAAGGGCAGCCGGACATTCGGAGGTGGTCGAAACCTTGAAAAGCGAGGACGACCGCGTCAAGGCGTTGGCCAAATGGTTCGATATGCACTTCCAAGAGCATGAAATCGAAGGCATTCGCGGGTTGGTCTCTCAAATCAAATAGAGTGTTTGGACATTTTTGGAATTCTACCGTGGCAGCGAGGAAATCGCTGGCTCGCAATAATTGTACAGATGACAGAGAATGAGGTTATTCTTTCTAACCCGAGGCGTGGATATTTCTCTCAAAGCTAATGCAGGACGAACAAATGAGGCACAAATAGAAAATTGCAGACATGGCGCAGGGATCGCCTTAGTAAATCCGTTTCTCGAGCTGCAGCACAGGTCAGTCGTCTGAACAGGAAGCGCGCATGGCAATCAAAAGCAAGTAGCATTGTACCTTCCAGGGGTTGTTGAGTTCGAAGCCCGTGGGGGCTGTGGGGTTGGCCGATTGACCTCGGAATATTCCTGTCATTCTTTGATCTCTCTCCATCACTGCGGCGAAGTCAATCGTTAGCTCCATGGCTCCTCTCCAAGACGTCGATCGCGCATGCGTAAAATTCCCGGAAAACGTTCGTTATGCATTGGGGTGGAATCGCTAAGGATGGATCACATACTTTGCTGCTCTGCTGTTAGCGCGCAAGGTCATTCAATCGCACACAAGGGGTATAACTCACTCTATCCCACAGGTCAAGGTTCCAACGCGGCTGCTTCCAGCCGTTGGCATAATACTTAACGGCCCAGATACCACCAGCACCAGCAGTGAGGGACTGTCACGTCATGATCAGTCAAACCGAGCGCGAGGACGAATTGCGGAACAACAATTGGCAGGACCTACACCGATGATGATTCCAAAAGGAAGCAAGGCCTCGAAGGGGACACCCATGATGTGTAGTGCTAGTGTAGTGAAGCGGCAGACGCAACGGGTAAACGCGGGGGAATGAAGTCGTGGAGGAATTGACTGGCGAAGTTGAAGCCCGCCGGAGGTTCGAACGAGAGTCTGGCGGATGACCCAAAGCGGCTTAGGCGGGGCGGTGACCCGGCCGTGGATGAGTCAGCAGCGGCACTCAACCTCACAGGGACAGGAGAAGCAGAAGGGGCGAGTGCGTAGATTCCGGGAAGTCGCCTGTAGACGGCCTTCTTCAGCTGCTGAGATTCTTTCCCTACGGTCCTTGCTATTGAATTCAGGGTACATTGGCTGTGCTCGTGGGAGAGGTATGTCTTCTCGTATCTGATAGCTTGACGCGTTCCATCCGCCATTGTTCCATCCCGCTCCTCTCCCATCTTTCCCTTCCACTGACAGCTGTTTTGATTGCGCCTGCGCTCAACTTATTAACTGCGGGTTCTCAGCGCAACTCCTTTACTCGCCGATCTCGAAGTCGCATTCGCTGGCGCCCCGGGCAACTTGTTCTATGATTCCCCATGCCCATTCACTGCGGCGCCAGATGATTGTCTACTTTTGCGGGGAGCCTGTATAGTTTCAACTGCTGGGCTGCCTTCTGCCTGCTACGGATTCCCTCTATTTTCGATTCGAAGTGTCCGAGACAATTCAATACCCGTTGGTTTTGGCGACCGTTGCAACCGCTGTAACACAACATGCCGGCAATAGTGCCGCCGGTCGATGACGACCTGGACAACAATACCCCCGCAGATTTGGTGGACAGTGAGCAGGATGCTGAAGGGGAAGAGGACACAGATCTCTATCAGATGGACCAACAGCTACAGGACGCTGTGCACCGCGCTCTTTCGGGCGAGCCTGTTGAGAACACCCCGGCAGCTGGCCCTGACGATGAACTGGATGCTGAAGGCGAAACCGATACTGAGATGGACGTGGACGGCGCTCCGCTTGATGCTGATCCGGTTGGCGCCGTGAAATTACCCAAGGAAGCTCCGACCGAGGACGACGAAGATGTTGTTTCGGGCCCAGCAGATGCAGACGCAGACGAAGACCCTGCTTCTGAGCATCGCAGCGACAGCGAGCAAGAACAAGATGATGCATCGGGTTCGTCGTCAAGCAGTCAGGAAACGGACGATGAGTGGGAAGGAGAAAGCAATGACCATGAGGATGCGGAGGCGGAGAACACGGTCCGCGGCAACTGCATGTGAGTCTAGAACCTCAATTTGGCTGCCCGTGCCCCTGACCTGCCGGGCTCCGGGCCACATCAGGGGCAGTCGCCTGAAACACCGATAACTAATATGAATTGCTCTGTGTCTAGATTCTGTGGCCAGGACGAAGACAACGATCCTAGTGAAGAGTACGAGGAGTATTTGACTTGCGGAGTCTGTGGCGATCATTGTATGTTGGCTTCGCGGCCCCATAACTTATCCAGCCGGCTGTTGGACGATCCTTACTGACTCGGAAACCGGACAGCTCACCGGCAATGCGCCCGGGAACAGAGTGCATTAGATGACGCGGAAGGTATCTTATCTCATTCCTGATCAAACCACTAATTCATGATGTGCTAAACCATGGTAGGATCCAATCCATGGCGATGTCCCACCTGCGTTCGGGAGAAGCTGCGGCCCAGCCCCAAGGAGAACGCACCAGTGCAACGAAAGGGTCGAGCTAAGAACATGCGCAAAGAATTGCTGCCAGCCCATACTGGCGAAGAAGGCTCTGACTTTCATTCAATCTTTAATACAGTAACAGTCAACGATGAACTCTTAAACAGCTCTCGGTCGCTACGAAAGAGGAAAGCCCTTTCGGCGTCGGCAGAGGTTGATGAGCATGCGCCTGTCCTACGTAAACGGCAACGGCAGACTTCACTGCGCTCCGATCGGGCAATATCCCGTGAGATGGGCGAGGTTGTTGATGGCATGTCTCCAGTTCGAACGCGCTCTCGGCGTACACGTAAGACTGAACAGGAAAATTGCCGCATCGTGCTGAAGCAATATGGGCGTCTCGTCCTAGCGTTTCGCTTAGATGAGTCTAGGTTGTCCAAAATCTTCAATTCTCGCAGCAGATCTCAAACGCGCAACCACCGGACTCCTAAGCCACCCCCGCCTGTTCCCGAGCCTCAAGCTCATTTTGCTCCTATAACGCCTGCCTCCTACTACACCCCGTTCTACTCTTTCAACGACCGCGAGATGGATGAGTCCAAGTCTAAACCTTACGGAGGTATTCTTTCTGAGGTGGACGCCGATACATCAAAGACGTTGCCGACCAACATGGATCGGGAGAAGTTCGAAATAGCCCGTCACAAAGCAGAGGAGGAATGGCAACGAAGAGTCATGCACACTGAAACCAGCGGTGAAACCGTACAGCATGCGTCACAGAAGGTCTCAGGTCCTCCGTCTAGGATCAAGTACATTAATTTTGGGGGCTATGAGATTGAGACCTGGTACGCCGCTCCATACCCGGAAGAATATAGCCGCAACCGAGTCCTTTACATTTGCGAATTCTGCCTGAAGTATATGAACTCCGACTACGTTGCGTGGCGGCATAAACTCAAATGCCCGGCGAAGCACCCTCCTGGCGATGAAATCTACCGGGAAGGGTCAATATCCATATTCGAGGTAGATGGGCGGAAGAATCCAGTCTACTGCCAGA